TTCTCTTACGTACTTTGCTTTTTCATTTAACAATATATGCTAAAAGTCACTCCATATTAGTTCATCAAAATCATGCTTTTAACCTTAGCATGGTCTTCCACAGTTAATGCAATCATCTTTCTATGTGTGGTTAGTTAGATTGTTTTCAGTGTTTTGCTATTACAGTTATGCCAATGAATAACCTTGTGCATATTTATATGTTCTCAGTTGTTGGATCTTAGGATAATTTTCTAGAGTGACTTTTCTGGGTCAATAGGTAATTTTGTTAGATATTGCCAAATTTCCCTCCAAACAGTCTGTGCCCATTTGCATTCTCACCACCAATGAATGAGAGAGCCTGCTTCAACAGTCTCAGAAACACAATGTGTTATCGCACTTTTTCTTGCCAGTCGCATAGGTGAGAAATGGTTTCTCAGAGTAGTTTCAATTTTCATTTCTATTATTATAAGTGAGGGTGAATATCTCTTCCAATGTATATTTTTGCATGTGTGAATTCTCTATTCACGTCTTTTTCCCATTTTTCTATCAAGGTTTTGATCTTTCTCCTTCACCTATTAAGTTATTTTCATGTTAGGACACTCTACTCTTCATCTGTGACATACATTTTCTCTCACTTTGTCATTTTGTTTGTTGTATTTTATATCATGAAAATGTAGTGTTTTGGCATTTTTTTTTAATTGAGTCAGCGTTATCAATCTTATATTTTATTGCCTCTGGACAGTTGCAAGCCTTCCCTATATTCAGGTTGTATAGGAATTCACCTTGTTTTCTTCTTGTATGGAAAATTTTATTTGCAAAAACATCCAGATAGTTTCATATGTTTTCATTTCTATCTCTGATCAATTTGGAGTTTATTTTTGTGATTGGTGTGAGGTGAAAACATAATTATTATCTTTTTCAAATACAGATGCAATCATATTAGCACCCTTTATTTTAAAGTCCTAGTCCTGCTGAAACTAGTTTGGCTCAGTGGGTAGAGCATCAGCCTGCAGACTCAAGGGTCCCAGGTTTGATTCTGGTCAGGGGCATGTGCCTTGGTTGCAGGCACATCCCCGGTAGGGAGTATGCATGAGGCAGCTGGTCGATGTTTCTCTCTCATCGGTGTTTTTAACTCTCTATCCCTCTCTCTTCCTCTCTATTAAAAAAAAAAATCAATAAAATATATAGTATTAAAAAAAAAAAAAGCCCTAGTCCTTTATGTAAAAACTAGTCCTTTATTCATGCACTGACAGGGTCCCTCAGCCTGGCCTGCGCCCTCTTGCAATCTAGGATCTCTAAGGGGTGTCAGAGAGCTGGTTTTGGACGATCCCCGCAGACCAGGCCAGAGGACCCCACAAGTGCATAAATCTGTGCACTGGGCCTCTATTATGCATATAAGATCTTTGGTTAATCTCTTCCTGCTCTTCCCCTACCCCCTTCCTGCTGAGATTCATCAGTCTGTTCCATGTTTCCATGCCTGTGGTTTCCTCTCCTGTGTTAAGCATCTGCCCCATGGTGGTCAGTGCACGTCATAACTACCAGTGGAATGGTAGAACATTCAGGCAGTTAGATGGTTGCTTAGGTATATAAATATATATCATTTCCTAGTCATTGAGATGTAGGCTTTATGTACATATGCAAAATTTACATATGTACCTGGATCTATTTCTGGACTTTCTATTCCATTCTCAGGTTCATCTGTCTATTTATGTGCCAGTCTGTACTGTGTTAATTATACAGACTTGATAGATATGTTAATATTGGATAGGATTACTGCTCTGTCATAACTTTTCTGGCTTTATTAATAACCATCCTTGAATGTTGTTGTTTTTTTCATATAAACTATTTGACCAGGTTTTGTAGCTCTATAAAAATGTGTTGTTTTCTCTATTGAGATTACATTAAATTTATAAATTAATTTAAAGAGAGTTAGCACTTTTTAAATATTGAATTGATTTATCCCATAACAAGGGATGTCTTTTCATTTGTTCAAGAATAGACTGTTGTCTTTCAATAGTGTTTAAATTTTTGTTCATAAAAATTTTACACATTTATTATTAAGTTTATCTTTAAGTGTTCATCTTCTTTGTTGTGAAGTTTTATCTGTGATTATATCCTCTGACTGGATATTGTTTGTGTGTGTGGAGCTACATATTAATTTATATTCTAGCATGCTTATTCTTTTATTGTTTGAGATAGTTTTATCATTGATTCTCTAAGAATACAATTATATTATCTATAAACTAGAAGGTCAGTGCACGAAATTTTGCATGGGGATAGGGGTCCCTCAGCCCAGCCTCTCCAATCTGGGACCCCTCAGGGGATGTCCAACTGCCACTGTGAATCAGGCCCTGCCTCTCTCTCTGGGCCTGATCCGCATCCTCCATAGCAACCCCAGATCAGGACCTGCCTCTTTCACCATGCCCGCCTCTCCCTGCCAATCTGCCTACCACCCCACTCACCCACTGGCTGCCAGCCTTGCTGTGATAGGAGCTATGGGCCATGGGGGAGGGTCCAAAAGGTGCCCCATGCACTTCCTGGTGTCTGTTCATTTGTTCGTTTTGGTCATTAAGGCTATTGGCCTTTTATTATATAAATGGGAGGTGGTTTTACTTCTTTTATGATTTATTTTGTCTAAATGCGTTGGCTAATACCTCCAAGGTAATATATATATATATATATATATATATATATATATATATATATATACACACACACACACACACACACATATAGGTGTACATATATATTATAAATATATAATTCATGTTATATATTTGAAGCATGTTAATAAAGTATTCAGTATTTCCTATTTTTTTCATTAATAAAAAAATGGGTGTTGAATTATATAAAAAACTTCTTAGCATCTGTTGAGATAATCAGAGATTCTTCTCCCTAGATTGATCAATATTGTATATTGTATTAATGGGCTTGCTCATATTGAGCAGACTCACACCCCTAGAATGCATCTCCCATGGTCATACTGTATTATTTTTTGAGTGTGTACACTAATATTCAGTCTATAAAGGCCAAAGCTCTATGGCAGTGTCCTGTAAGGAATGATATCCCCCAGGACACTTGAATTATAGATTTCTATTGAATCAGAATCTCTGGGGAGGGTCCCAGGATTCTGCTTTTATTGGATCCTTCAGAAGTGGTCTTTCTACACACTGGAAGCATTCGTCTACTATATTGATCAATACTAATATTTTATGGGAACTTATTGCAAAAATGTTTATTTTAGCACAGGATTTGCTTTGTGAGTCTTTTAAAAAGCTGCTTTATGTCTTATAATTTTAGGTTCTAGATCATGAGCCAACTGCAGGAAAGTAGATGATACAGAGAAACCAAAAGATGAAATACAAGCTGCCATCTGTTTACCCATTCACCCCTTACTCATCTATTCAACTATGTTAATACTATGCAAGGACTAGGGATTTAAAGCTGTGTAATCCCTCTGCAACAGTAGGCAAAATGGAGGATTAAATAAATGTTTATAAGAGAACATATTTGACATTATATTAGAAAGATTTTCCAGGAATTTTATGTGCATGAAGGGCTTAAAAGAGGAAATGTTCCTCTCTCTGTCTACTGCTCTCATCAGAGGACAGGGATCCAAACTCTTCATTTTACCTGTTCTCCTAACCAAGCATATCCAGACTCCACTCTTACTCCCGTGGAGGTCTCCTTGGGGCAAATGTGTCTCAAACTAAGTCAATGATGACTTGTTTTATGTCCATTTATGTGATAATTGCCTGGCAGCTACAACCACCATACATATTGCTTGTCTGGTTCAAGGAGGAGGCCATGCTTTGTACAGAAAATCTTTCCCATAGAACAGTAACAAATGGAGAAATACTTATTTGCAAAAATATTCTTTATATGAAACTGTTTGGAAATTTATCTCCTACACACGGCCCACCAGCACATCAACTCCTGCCAAACACAGCTACAAGATCACCCATATAGGTGGGGGACGGGTTATCTGCGTGTGCAGGAATCTCTGTATACAACCTGTGAAAGAACTTCTCTCCAGGATACCCACCTGTAATAGAAACACTGAATAGCATCAGCAGTAAAATAGAAAACATTAGTAACGTGTGGAAGCTTCAGTAAATGGAACATTGACTCCATTGGTTCTATAAAAGTGCTTTAGATTCCTGTAAAAGAAAAAAAAAATAAAGATGTACATTCTCTTTCTATTAGAATTTGTGATGGATTGGTTCCACTTGATTTATTCTAGTATCAGACTTTGCACATCCAAGACAACTGCTCTGTGGGAAAGGGTCCACACAGTCTTGTGTCCGCCACTCGCATCAGGGCAGTAGTTAAGGGTTGGCTTGGTATGGAATGCATTTCATATCACATGAGTGGCCCTCACATGATGAGAGGGCAATGTATTCAAGTACAAACCTGGCTATGCTTCCTCTGAAGAAAACTCTCCGAATGTAGCCAGGATTCCTTTCATGTCCTAATTTTAATAATTTAGAAGAAGTGTTATTTAATTGCCAACATTTTTATTTACCCAAAGTCTGTAAAATTTAACTGCCTCTTCATGCTGAATATGCTACATACTGAGCATACATCAGGTAGTTTGGGCACACATTTTGCATCTGATTTAAACAGGAGCAGGTGTCCACCAAGATAGATGCAAATGTCACACCGGAGTCTTGGGTTATCTTTGCTGGCTTGGTTTTAATGATCCCACGTAAGTAGTTACTCATCAAATCACTAAAATAAAATGTTCATACTTAAATATATTGTATTTTTGGATTGCCTCAGCAAAGGGAAGATACAGAAAGCACTTCAATCTATATGCACCAGGTCAACAGTATAAAATTCTTCAGATAGCAAAAATAGATCCTGAGCGAGTTCTGAAATTACACACACACATTCACATACACATTACACCATCTATTCTTAGCAGTCTGCTTAAGTAGTATGTTTGTTTTGATAAAATGTAATGTGCCTTTATAGAGCTTGGCTATATTAATTTTAGTCATTTCTTTTTAAACTTACAGTTGGCAATCAGTGGATAAATTATATATCATTCTGTGGTCTTAGAACACATGCAGAGCTTGAAGGAAACCTAGTCACTGAACTCATCTATGTCCACAGCAAGTTGCTAATTGCTGATGACAACACTGTTATCATTGGTAAGTAGATGGTCTCTAGTTTTGTTTCTTGCTCGTTGACTTATATCATGCAAAAATCTCTCTTTCTATTCCTCCCAAGCTTCCTTTGGAGTTGAGAGAGACAGTAATATATTATCTAAAACATTTCTGGAGCAGTCTACAACCTTTCTAATCCCTGTTTTTTATCTATGAAGAAAGACAGGCACAGAGCAATTAAATGGTCATTGAGCAAATTACAGTATCCAAGGGCAGCAGTGTGATCCAGCAGTGCAATAATGGGCCTGTTCTCTTTCATTCTTTACTATCCCTTATTTTTATTGAATCCAAGTACCTACATTTTGGTAATTGATGGAGGAGAAATGAGGAGGAAATGGGTACCTAATGGTAATTTGTATGTGTTTGCACCGCACCCACATAACCATTTTTCCAGCTCTGAAGTTGTGCAAGAGTCAGAATTGGAAGGATATGAAAATATTGTTGCCTCTGTGTGTTTTGCTTTTCCCCTAGAGTCTATTTTGGGTGTCATTAACCAGGGTGCAAAGGGGACCAGCTTTGCTGGTGTAAGGTTGGTAGTGGAAATTGTGAAGTAATGATATGATGCACCCCAGACTAAAGTTTGCAGTCCTTTCTTGCCAACGATACACAGAGTTCTCCAGAGGTCCTCTCCCCACCAACAGATTCGGACAGTTCCTGGTTGTATATTCTACCCAGATTAGATCAACTTGCCCAGAGGGATGGGTGTCCAGCTTAGTTGTTTTATACACATGGAAAGCTTTGTTTGCCCATCCTGGAATTGCTTTGCTTTCAAATACGATGTTACACATACACAGAGAGGGCAGGATGAGAAACAATATTAACAATCATCCAGGTAAGTGAGCTGACAGGGGTGGAGGTGTTCCTTAGTGTGTCCCACTGTTGGGTATTCTGCTCATCTGTTTTAAAGGGAGTGTCGTTTTTCAGCTAGTGTCAAATACTTCCCTATTCTTTAAGAAACCAAATGTTTTGGAGTGTTTTGAAATGTTTTATCAATAAATATGTTTATCATCCACTGAAGAAAGGGGGGTCTCTTATCTAATAGTAATGAGACTGTCTTAACTGGAACATGATTTGAAAAGAAAGAAAAAAAAATATTTCTGAAGCTAGAAAATGTATAGACCACAGTGTGGTCTCACATGTGTGCACGACACACACACACACACACACACACACACACACACACACACACTTTTTATACATATAAGGACATTTTAAAAAAAATGTCTTGTGTTGCTGATCCCTTGCTCTATAGGGACCAGAGCACTGTAGGGATTTATTTCCTCCCCCATTTCCCCCAGAACAGGCTTTCTCTTATTTCCCACAGCTACTCCAGCCTTGCTCTTCAGAAGTCATCTCAGAATATATTTATATTAAGTTCGGCAGTGATAGTAGGAAGGGGAAATACTGATGTTTGCTGAAATGGAAAAACAAACAAAGTGAAATAAAGCTCACTGGATCTCTTTAGAAAGACTTCAGAACTCTGGAAGTAAAAAATGACAGATGTAAATATTTTACCTGTAAAGGTCATTTGGGCTTTCAACCTGCTTTATTTTACATAAAGTACATATGCATTGTAGTTTTCAGTAACAGAGCCATCAGTTCACTAGGTTGTCTGTGTTTTTTTAATTGACTTATTTTCTAGAAAGGTCTCTGAACCACTAAAAGGCTACAGTTTATTTGGGCTAACAGTAGCAGATCCATTTTGCCCATAATTCCAGTCTACTCAGTAGAAACTGAAGATGTGGCCTCTGGAGTATGAAGAGGTCTTACATTAGTCTTTCGATTTCTTTCTCTCCTTCCTCAAGTGCACCACAGACTCCCCCTGGAAAATTCCAAATGTGCTTCTGCTCCTTTTATCTCAGTGGAGACTAAGAGTAAACAACTTCGTTGTTGCTGCTCTCACACACATCAGCCCTGTTTAAGCCCATAACACATAGAACAACATGGGCAATTCTCAGAGAGGCGTTTGAGAAGTTATGTGAAGGATACTGAACAGGCCCTGACCTGTTTGGCTCAGTGGATAGAGCGTCGGCCTGCAGACTGAAAGGTCCCAGGTTTGATTTTGTTCAGAAGCATGTGCTTAGTTGTGGGCACATCCCCAGTGGGAGGTGACAGGAGGAAGCTGACTGATGTTTCTCTCTCATTGATATTTCTAACTCTCTATCCTTTTTCTTCTCCCTTCCTCTCTGTAAAGAATAAATAAAATATTTTTAAAAAAAAAGAATATTGAACAGGGCTAAGCAAGTATCTAAAAGCTTAAAAGATGTTAAAATGATCCATGATTAAATTTTCTAACATGGGAAACATATGCCAGAATGATTGGACAATTGATATAAGAAAAACAAGTAATTGTTCACCCTCACTTTTTCCTCATGAGGAAATACTTGTTTTCTCCCATTGAAGGTCTCTTGTGTGGATAGCTTTCATTATCTGTTGGCCTGGGTGACCTGCTAGTTAGGTAGCCTCTGTCCAAATCTGTCTCAATGTTGTCACTGAACCAAGTTAACATTTATTTGGTTTTCCTAAACACGAGGCTGTCCTCATGTATAATTTAACTCCATCCGGTTGAAGAAGTAGAAATGATGTTTTAGTGTGATCCACCGCACAGAACAGTAGGGAGATGGAAAGTGGGAATCGGATGTTGCCGCTGCCCTGCAGCCCTCCTGGGCTGGAGGGGTGGCGGGTATTCTTTCCACCTGACGCCAGGGCATCCCTGTGGATAGTGCAGAACCAGAGCAGAAAGGTCAGGGTGGGTAGGTGAGTTGCTGTAGTTGAAGGGCTGCCCCAGCAAAGGGAGATTCTATTGGATCTAGTCTCATGGGTCTCAACCCTAGCTGCATTAGAATTGCCTGGGGTGCTTTAAGAAAACATATCATTGGGGGGGAAGGGGGACTATATTCATGTCTGCAATTTACCTTAAACTAGATTCACCACCTCCTTCTCCTGTTGCCCCAAAAAAGGATAGATTAATAGATAGATGAAGGGATGGGATGGTATTGCAAAATACTAATGGCTGGTTTCTATTATACTCGCAGAAATTGTGATTAATTGCTCTGGTCTGGAGCCCAGACATCAAGGTGTTTTTGTTTTTGTTTTTTGGCTCCAGTATTTTTTAAACATTTCATAGGCGATGCTCATGGACAGTCCAAGCTAAGAGCTTCTGAACTGGACACACAGGGAATTCGAGTGGGTTGGAGGACAGGAGAGCTGACGTGGGTTCAATGGAAGAATCGGTTGTCCTTCAGTAAGCTAAATAGGATACAGTTGTGAATTCCTTGTCTTTTATGGCTGTAACACATGGCCACATGTGTTAGGCTCTATAACCTGTTGAGAACTGCTAGCAGGGTCGCCCAAGACATCAGAAAGCACAGATATTTACATTATGATTCATAACAGTAGCAAAATTACAGTTATAAAGTAGCAACGAAAATAATTTTATGGCTAGGGGTCACCACAACATGAGAAACTATATTAAAGGGTCGCGGCATTAAAAAGGTTGAGAACCACTGATATAGAGCCTTGCCCTCTCTTCTTCCCCATGTTGTAAAGTAGGATAATGTTATATCTGCTGTTCTGAAATTGGTTTTCAGAATGTGGAACCATCTAACAAGAATAGAGGTAGCATTTACATCAACGAACATCTCATATTCAGTATCTCATTTATTATAATACATTCATCTAAAATATTCTCAGCCCTTTTCCACATTCCTATTTAATAATAGCCAATGCTTACTCAGTGTGGTTGAGAGTTGGTGCCTTGGGTAACTCCAAATCAGCCCTGGAAATAGAAAAACCACTCCTCTCTCTAAGAATTCCAGCTCAGAATGCCAGGAATGTGTTTCCCACTTTGGGAATAGGGCCCACCTTGGAGGGAGGGAGACTGGGACACTGGTGTGAAAGGGTGTGTGTGTGTGTGTGTGTGTGTGTGTGTGTGTGTAGAGAAGGCTTCCCATCCCCAGTTTTCCTGACAATGGAGTGCAGTGATCAGTGATCACTACCCAATCCAGCAGCCTGCAGCCCGAGAGCGGCCTCTGCTGGAGACAAGAGGTAGTGAAGTCCCAAAACAGCACTGTGAAAACTTGGTTCCTCTCCATGCTGCAGTTTACACACCAGGGTGAGGGGTGATTAACCCAGAGAGGAGGCTTCTCTGATACAAATGCTACTTGTCCTTTTCTATGGCAGTGTTCTCTGGTGCAGATATTATAAAGCAGGGGTCTTCAAACTTCTCTCATTATGAGAATCACCTGGTGGAGGTGTTAAAACACAGATTCCTGATAGCACTTCTTATAGTTGGGATCCGGGAATCTGTGTTTTAACAACTCCACCAGGTGATTCTCATAATGAGAGAAGTTTGAAGACCCCTGTTATAAAGCATCAACAAGAATTTGATAATGATGCCAATAATTACCATTTGTAGAGCCATTCATAGATTAGCAAGTGCTTTCACATGACCTTACTTAATTCTTACAATGACATTATGACCTCAATGTAGAAAAGGCAAATTAAAGCTGAGAAAGATTAAATGGCTTTGCCCACATTAAGGCTGTGCCAACTGTCCAATCCAAAGATACAGCTGTACATTTTCTAGTGTGATCAAAAAGTGTGTGTAGAAAGGACGATTGGTTGCTAACAAAACGAAGTGTTTCAAAGATTGTCTTGTCACCTTACAGCGTTCCAGGAGTGCTCCCAAATGTCTGGTGAGGTGCTCTATCCTTCCCCTGTCACCCAGGGTCACTATGGGGCTCCATTTGCATCCATCATTACCACAGATTTGCACATTAACTACATGACAACTTTGTGCAAATGGTAGTAATGTCTCTTCAAGATGGACCCGATTTTTCTCATGTACAACATCCCTCCAGGTGGGCTCGGGTCAACCTGCTGTCACCTTACATCCTGAGTGTTCCCATCACAGGGCCCACCCCTTCTGCTCCACTCCCCCAGAGGCAGAGGAATATGTGATTAGGGCAAGAGGAGTGAGAAGAAAGAACGAGTCAGGCCTTCTGTAGTTTCTAGGACACCTCAAGGATTTAAAGAACGAATCTGCAGTGATTAACACAGAAAATGTGATGGGGTTTCTGAATGTGAGGCTGAGGAACGCAGCAAGCACAGGTTGAACTATGAAAATAATTTTTCCCTTCACATGGGAGTCAACATTCATAGCTCATTTGGATTTAAAAATAGGGTGGAAGAAAGTTGATATAGAAGCTGTTGGCATGCCACACAAGTGACTCAAGAGAATGGAAAGCCAGAGCCACTGACGATAATCTGTATTGAGAGTGGACTCTCGCTTGTGAAGGTACTCTTGGGTTTTGATGCTCATAATTCTATGATCATAAGTTAAAGTCTACAGAGTCTGAGTCTCAAAACTGACTGAATTGAACTGGTAAGCATATCTTTTATTCTTAGTATGCTTAATGATCATACCAGTTAGAATCCTTTGAGCCACAAAATAGAAAATTCAGCTAGAAGTGTGTGAAACAATAAGGAAAATGTATTGTTTCACATAACAGAAAGTGATAAGGTTCTAGAGCTGGATAATTCAGTGACTTAGAGACCCAGGGTTTTGCTTCTTTCTGCCCTGCCATCTTCAGCTTGTCTGTCTCCTCGTGGTTACAAAATGGCTGCAGCAGCCCTAGGAATCACATCCTCACCCACCTGCTCAGAGAAAATAGCCAAAGGCTGGAAGCAGCAGCATTCTGTTCCTGTCTCAATTTATCAAAAGAGGGGAAAAAGAAAAGAAAAGAAAAAAACTTTCGCAGAAGCCCCTAGCAGACTGTTCCTCATGTCACACTGCCTGGAATCATGTTAAAGACCCAACCTACATCCAACACTGGCCAAGATAATGAAATTCTAACTGCCGGCTTAGACTGCACCCCTGGCTTAGGGAAGGGCCCGGGGCCTTAAAGCACAGCTGCTCCTGATAACCTGCACACAATTAAGGGTTTCTTAGCAAGGTAGGACCGAGTGGGAGGGCAGCTAACAGTTTCTCACTGTTTCTCCAATAGGCTCTGCCAACATCAACGACCGAAGCATGCTGGGAAAGCGAGACAGTGAGATGGCAGTCATTGTGCAGGACACCGAAATGGTCCCTTCCGTGATGGATGGAGAAGAGTACCAGGCCGGCCAGTTTGCCCTGGGACTCCGGCTGCAGTGCTTTAGGTGAGCCTCCACGCCTGGTCTGTCTTGTGTCCTTGTACCACAGTAGAACCGGAGCCTGGCCCAGCCTCACCCGAGCTCTCAGGTTCTTCTTCCTCTAATCGTGTCTCCCAGACACAGGACGTGAACTCCCAGCACTCTGTGAAATGGCAGGATGTGTGGCTCTGACATTTTCTATGTTAATGGTTTGTATTATGTGCATGTGTTGTGGAGAAACTGGCATTTTAAATCTATTAATAGGTTTAGGACTAGGCCAGGTCAGACTTTCCAGTATCTATTTAAGGTTTTTTATAATGAGTTTATTTCTAGACATGGAAATAGTTCCAGTAATATAAGGATATAATGAAAATCATATCGGTGAATGCCAGGGACTACTGGTATTATTTTTCATGTGAAAACTTTGGTTCTCATGGAAGATGGCTCCAGACATGGGAGATTGCTGACCTTCTGCAAGAAGGTGTGAATTTTAAACCAATCTGGAATCAATCAGAGAGAACACAGGGTTAGGAAGCAAGGGTCAAGTGGCCCGAAATGAATCCTTTGTTTATTACTATTCTTAATATACATTTTTATTGTTTTCAGACAGGAAGGGAGAGGGAGAGAGAGCGGTAGAAACATCCATGGTAGGAGAGAATCATTGCTCGGCTGCCTCCTGCACACCCCACACTGGGGAGGAAGCCAGCAACCCCAGGCATGTGTCCTGACTGGGAATCAAACCCTGATCTTCTGGTTCATAGGTCATCGCTCAACCACTGAGCCACACTAGCTGGGCTGAAGCGTCCTTCATTTAATTGTTGCTGAGAACTTTCTAGAGCTGGGCTCACACTGGCCCCACCCCAGGCCCAGTTGTCTAGGCTCAGGGACCAGGGATCTTTCTGGAACCTAACTCGGAGATGGCTCCTTCTCTCCCCGCTGTCATCCCTTGCTCAGTGACGCACTCTGAGCTCCCACTGTCTGCAGACACCCCTGACCACTCTCTCACCTCTGGACTTTTGCAGTCAGTTCACAGCCAAGATTCTAGAGCTCTGTTCGCCAGGATTGGGTTTCACAGTGAGAGCAGCAGGTGTCCCTGCATCAGGGCTATGCTTTCAGCTATTTGGGGAAAGGCACAGCACAGACACAAGAAACAGCACCGGTTTAACCCTTCTGGTGTTCGTGGTCACAGTTGGAAGCCGGCTGCCTTACAGATGGGTCCAAAATGAGCCCCTCCCTTCCTGCAAATGCTGGTGGCCATTTCCCTCCTTCCTACCTCTGCTTTTAAAAACGAATAAAAGCTTCCAGTTTAGAAACGGTTCACTTTGTTCTCACTGCCACGGGAGTTCAGCAAACCCATCCCTCAGAATTGGACTGTCAATACCTTCTCACAATTTTTATTGCCTTTGTTGCTAATTGTTTTGCCAGTAAGATTTTTTTTTTCAAACCATTAGTATTTCAATTAGCTCCTAACATGTTCTGGTTAGCAGGGGAGAGTTTAAAATTATTGTCCTACTAATCAACCCATTGATTGCCTACTGCAGCATAGGCAGAAAAAAAATATATCTTGTGTACACTAGAAATGTCATATTTTTTTTAGTTCCATCTGCTGAAGTCTTTTCTTTAAAGTGGTGGGCTTCTTTATAATGTTCTGAAAGAATAATAATTATAGTAGTAGGTGGTACTGATTGCAACATATTGTCATTGTACAAAATTTGGCAAACACTGAAAAGCGATAAAAAAAAATCAAATTTATTTGTAATCCCACCACCAGTGCTAACAATTTTAACATTTGATGTATATCATTCCACTTTTTTTCTATACATATATATTGCTATTCTTTATACCCTCTTAAAAGAAAACATGATTAAGATCTTGCAGTAACTACAAAATTATTTTATTTATGTAATGTTACACACACTTTCATTAAGTATCCTATAACATCTAATGGCTGCATTATATTGCGTATGCCATAATTCCTTTAAGTAGTACCTCATTGTTAGGCAGATTTTCTGCTGATATAGTAGGTAGAGCTGATTGCAACATATTGTCATTGTACAAAATTTGGCAAACACAGAAAAACAATAAAAAAATCAAATTTATTGCTGAAACCGGTTTGGCTCAGTGGTAGAGCGTCGGTCTGCGGACTAAAAGGTCCCGGGTTCGATTCCGGTCAGGGGCATGTGCGTTGGTTGCGGGCACATCCCCAGTGGGGGGTGTGCAGGGGGCAGCTGGTCAATGTTTCTCTCTCATCGACGTTTCTAGCTCTCTCTCTCCCTTCCTCTCTGTAAAAAATCAATAAAAATATGTTTTAAAAGAATTTTTTTTAAAAAAATCAAATTTATTTGTAATCCCACCACGCAGTGCTAACAATTTTAACATTTGACATATATCATTCCACTTTTTAAAAAATTTTTCCTGGCTATTTTCAAACTGTCTTAAAGAGGCAGTTTTTCTTGAACAATCATTTTCATTTTGCCACCATGGCAAACATAGATAATATATTAAAAAGCAAAAAAATAAATAAAAATAAAAAGCACCACAAAAGCCTTGTGTCCATTTTAGCTCTTTTTATTATGAAATATTCTCAAACATAAATATTGTGGCCATTTTTTTTCCTCTTAAAAAATGCAACTTCAATCCATTTGCCACCTGGAAAAATAGAGAGACATATTTTAATGTGAAGTTAATTCTAAATAGAATCAGTAATCAGGGAGCTGCAATTATATGTCCAACAGTTCATTAAGTCCTAGAAAATTATCCAAACTTCACAGATATAACTGTCACTCCACAGAAACAATTATCTTTACAAGTAGAGTCAGAATCACTTAAAGCAACAGATGTGAGAAATGGAAAGAACAGAAACAATTTTTTGCAGTTTTTCTATTGTCCCACTGATGTGTAAACAATTCAACTTTAAATAAATAATTGCCATTATACACTTAAATATAAAAGCAAACTCGTTTTCTCTGGAACCTTAGTCCTTAGAAGAATACCCAAAGTACCTCATATTATTTTCACTGTGCATTTCTTATCATAAGTTTCTTATCATTAAAAAACTCTCAGGGAAATTAATTTATTACTAGATGTTGTCTGTTATAGACTTATTTAAATACTTTTTCTACATACAAGCTCTTCACCGATAACATGGTAGATACATTGCCTTACCTTTTGTTCTAATTTAAAAGCAAAGTCATAGAGATATTCTTTTTGCTCAATTTTCAGCTGGTTAGACCCGACCCAAATCAAAGGCATTATTATAACTGATTTATTGTTACTAATATAACTTGGACAGCCCCTCAAATTAGGTGCAGTCAAATTTAGCTTTGGGTCTGAATGAGCAGCAGCATCCGTCTGCAAACATCATCCCTGAAGACCTGGGTAAAAGTGATTCCTATGTTATCGTAGCTGCGCATTTTAATACTACTTCTTGCCCTACCATTTCCCCAAATTAGTATTCTTTGGCTGAAGGAGACATTATTTGAAGTGGAAATAGAATTTGAGGTTACAAAATTCCAAGATTATCAGTGAGCCCATGGTGCCAGATCCACTTACTTTAAAGAATTTTAATATAGAAAAAAAAAAAATGCAGACTAAAACTAAAAGGAGATGCTTTTTTATCCCTGTAAGACTGAGCTTTTTCAGGAGTTGATAATGTTGGAGCAATTGGGATATAACAACATAAGGACCTCCACACTGTTAAATCCAATCAATGGTCACTTCTCATTTGAAATTAACACAGTTCTCCTTGATGCTGTACGTCATGTACAGTGTTTCCCCGAAAATAAGACATCCTCCGAAAATAAGACCTAGCGCACGGAAAGATAAGACATCCCCTGAAAAATAAGACCTAGCGCAACTTTGGGAGAAAATATTAATATAAGACACTGTCTTATTTTTGGGGAAACAGGGTAATTCTGGGATACAAGGTCCTCTGGCTTTTCTCCAGTTTCCATGGCCACTCTTCCTCTCCCCGTCTGCTGAGGTGCCCCAGGTCCCCTTCTCTGGCTATATTCACTCCTTTGGGTAAACCCAGTTAAAGTCACATGCATCCTATATAATAAAAGGCTAATATGCAAATAGACCAAACTATAGGACGACCAGTTGCTATGATGCGCACTGACCACCAGGGGGCAGAAGCTCAACACAGGAGCTTCCCCCTGATGGTCAATGCACTCCCACAGGGGGGGAGTGTTGCTCATCCAGAAGCACCGAGCCAGACTCATGGCTGGCAAGTGCAGTAGTAGTGGCAGGAGCCTCTCTGGCCTCTGTGGACAGGCCTAAGCCATCAGTCGGACATCCCCTGAGGGCTCCTGGGCTAGGAGAGGGTACAGGCCAGGATGAGGGGACCTCCCCAACCCCAAGTGCAGGAATTTCATGTATCTAGCCTCTAGTATACATATGTAGACAATTCTAAAATGTATATCTCCTACCAAGCCTTCCCTCCCAAACTCCAGGTTCATTTTTTCAACTGCCTGCCTAACATTGCCACTTGACTATTTAATAGATATTTTAATAGATTAAAAATGGAATTCCTAATCTTCTCCCACAAACTGACTCTATCCACAGAATTCCCAGTCTCAGCTAATGGCACTTGTATTTCAGGGTTGTCCTTGGCTATCTTTCTGACTCAAGTGAGGACATTAAGGATCCAGTGAGTGACAAATTCTTCAAGGAGGTGTGGGTTTCAACAGCAGCTAGAAATGCTACAATTTATGACAAGGTAAGTCTTATATATCCCCCACCCCACTCGCCCTGCCTTTTTTTCTTCACTGAATTTCATCACAAAAGTACATTGTTATTTTTGCATATTAATGGTATGGAATATTCTTTTATTATTATTAAATTATTATCTGTATACATATTTTAACATTTCCTCCCCTCTCCCATACATACCCTCCCTCCCCAGAGTTTTGTGTCCATTGGTTGTTCTTATAGCTGGTTTGGCTCAGTGATATGGAGTATTCTTAATGAGTGTGAAAAAACAGTTTACCTCCAAGTTGTAACAAAATACCTCTCTGTAGATATTAGAAAGCAAAGAGTCAAAAAGCACCACAGATTATGGTTTAGAAGAGACTTTGGTGGCATTCTAATCTCTCATCTGCTTCAGGAATCCATCATGAGCATTCGTAGGTGGTTACCCAGCCTTTTTACATGTCTGGTGACAAAGAAAAAAGAGGCAGATGGGATTGAAAAGTGAGTCAGAACTGGGTTCAACCCAGCTCACCCAGATGCTGGTAATATAACTTTGTGAATAGTGACTTGACATTCGGAGCCTTCCATTCTTCTATAAATTATAAAGAATGTTCAGTAGGGTAGTTATGAGGCTAAAAATTACCCTATTAAATGTAACTATCACATAGTACATGGTATCCATCCTTATAATGAAGCTTATTAATAATAAGACACTCACTTTGTTGGACAGCTCTAATTTTGGAAAGGTGTTCTAAAACCAGCCCCATTTGTTAGGGAGGCCAAATGCATTTCCTGGTAAGTTCTATCCATTGATTATGTACAAGAGTTAAGAGTTGTCTAACCATGGGACAGGTTACTTCACGAAGTAGCCAGCTTTGCATCATAGCAAATACTCAAGCTGAGATCCATTGACCATCTCTCAGGTTGGTGAAGAGAGTGTTCTTCTTCATGACTTGCAGAGCCCCCTCCCTCCAGCACAAAGATTTCATCATTCCTAATGAAACATGACCACTATCTACACAGCCTATTTCATACTGAGATCCAAAGCCATGATCAAATAGGTCATGTGCAGCAGTTTTTTGAAATGTAATTTTTAAAATATAGTGGATAGCCTCATTTGGTCCTGGATTGGGATGAGAACAGCTATAAAAGACATTTGAGGGATTCCAGGATAAATCTGAATATGGACCACATCTTAAATAATATGCAATTGATTTTCTGAGGTGTGAGAATGGCATTGTGATTATAGACATGTCTTATTCTTAAGAAATGCATCCTGAAGTGTTATGATATCTGAAATATATTTTCAATGAGCAAAATAAGTATATAGTGGATAACTCTAAGAAAAGGTACAGATAGGAACATTTTTCAAAATAAAAAGTCAGAGAAAATAAATTATACAATTTTTCTCTTAATCTAGAACCTCCACTGAAACTAAGGGTTGATTATTATCTAAAACATAACATCAATAAAATTCCTTACTATAAGCTTGATATTATCCTGGGGTTAATAATTTGTGTAGATCCTATATGAGTCTACTTATGATTTTATTTTTGGAAGCAAGCAAATTTGTCTGGTTTTTTGTCGTAAATAAGAAAAGCAACTTTTCAGTCAGCTCTATGCTGTAACATAAAACTAATATGTGTTTTATAAAGCCAAGATTTAGTATTTTACAAAAATGGGATGCTTTCTTTTAAACTTATCACTGTTTCCTCTTTGTGTTTTAATCAGGTATTCCGATGCCTCCCCAATGATGAAGTGCAAACTTTTATTCAGCTGAGAGACTTTATAACCAAGCCCATATTGGCAAAGGAAGATCCCATTAGAGCTGAGGAGGAACTGAAAAAGATTCGTGGGTTCTTGGTGCAATTCCCCTTTAATTTCTTGTCTGGAGAAAGCCTACTGCCTTCTGTTGGAACCAAAGAAGCCATGGTGCCCATGGAGGTTTGGACTTAAGAGTTATCAGCTCAGAGACTTCCACCCCAAAGAGTACACTGTGCACAGTGACTTTCTGAAACCTGCCAGCCAAGAACAGCCTGATGCACTCTTCTGTCCAACCCATGGACCCTTTGGGTTGGTTGGGAAGGGCTGAAGTCACACTGATGAAAGGACACTGAACATCATCAGGACTTTACATTCCTCCTGCCTATCCTTGTGAGAAAGGGACTGCATTCTTATTGGTAGCATATACTCAACAACTTGAACACATACACAAATTCCATGATGTACACCAAAGTGCATTTCTTTTACTAACAAGAATTTAGCTGTAACTGTGATCTAGGTTGCCAAAAGTCATCTGAACTTCCTTATTCTTCTCTGACTTTCGTTTATACAGCTAATGTCTGCTGGACCTGCCCTCGTAGTCCATACAGCACAGTTTGAGATCTTGTTTATTGTTAGAAGATGTCATGCTGCTGCTTCAAGGTGACGTGCAATGCCCTTGCCCTTCTTGTCCTGAAGTGATGACAACAACAGTGACTGACCACATCACCCAAGCAAGGATGTGGTCATTATTCCTTTTCAGCGACTGACAAGATAGTAAAGGCTCTACACAGCAGCCCATGTTAGGCAGTTCTGATAACATTGACACTCTATAATATATATCTTGACACCACAGAGCAACAGGAAGGAATTAAATTCAGTTATTGAGACAGAGATTTCACTTTGCCTCTAAAGGCACTGACAAGATGTGTCCTTCTGATGAGGCCCGCCTGATCAAATTTGAAAATATGTGTAGGATATTTGATTACACAGCAACCGATAAAGCTCAAAGACAGAGCATGCAGCCTTCAGAAACCTCCAGGTGTCAGTGGGGATCTGATCCAGATAAGAAAATAAGATTCCTTAGAGTCCTGCAAAATTTCCTGTCATCCTTAGCTGCTGGATTGATTGAAATTTGAGGTTTTTCTATTTCAAAATCAAAGCAGTGACTGCAATTTGTCTTTCAAGAGAATCAGAGGTTTCATAACTCATACCCAGTTAATAAGTATGGGCCCAGCCTTATTTGACACTCAGCTCTCCAGCAGTATTATCTTCTTAAAGAAAAATTGATTGCAAAAAATGTGCTATTTCACTTGCATTATTAAATATACATTAACATTCCACCAGGGCTTCCAAAGAGGTTAGGATATGCATTAATTCATACTGTTCTAGTCTGTGAATTGTTCTGGAAACCTTTTTTTTTTTTCTTTCTTTCTTTTTGGACATTACAGTGCCTTTTGGTACACCAAAGCTCTTATTTTACTAAGCAAAACTATTTTTATAGCCAAAGAGCTAATGTTGGCTCCCAAAAGGCCTATAACACCTTGGGTAGGTGCAATGTTTTCACGTCTATGGATTACCTGGACAGAATCTCATGTGGGTTGTTCTTCAAAGAAGCGAGGACCCGACCCCTGTCCAGTGGAAAAGGTTAATTAGGGGCACAAGGTCAGTGATCTGAGGAGAGGATTTCACAGTTCTAGAACTTTTTGCAAATGAGGCGGGACTGGGATTATGCAACCAACAATGGAAATGAGCAGGTTTTATGAATAAATAACTTTTGTCTCAGCTAGCTCATGATCATGGTAACAGGACTTCATTCTTTAGCAGTTGTAAATAAGACTTTTGTTATTTATGAAGGTTAGATTGGCATTTCAAGTGTATGTGGAATACCTAAGGATTTCTTATATTCATTTTTAAACATTTTTAAAAATCATAGAACACTCATCAAACTGGCTCTTGACTTTGTGCAAGAGTCTCCTTTAAAACCATGAAAATAAAAAAGAGCCTAAAATGGCTCTTTGCCTTTAAAAAATTACTTAATTCTACCTCCCCTCATTTTATGGATTAGGAAATGGAGGCTTAGAGTGGTTGAGCTTAGAAATCATGAACCTGAAACTCATAAAATGTCTAGAGTTCACTAACGGCCTCTCCTCTCACTTTATCAGAGATGTCAGTATACGGATTTCAGAAATCAAACAAGTGAATGTAATTTGATATTTCTAAGCAATTTGGAAACCCTGTGATATTACATATTTAGATTTTTGTCTGTATTCCTCTACTAGAATGTAAGTCCCCTGGGGCAGGGTCTTTCCTATGTTTTATTCAATGTATCCCCAGAGCCTAGAACAGTGCCTGGTACATACAAGGTGCTCAATAAATGCTTGTTGGGTGAGTAAAAGAGGTGGAGGAGAGAGCTAATGAAAGGAAAAACTTACATTATCTCAAAACAAGACATCTTCTGCTCGGTTTTGGTGAGGGTTTTTTTTTTGTTTTTTTTTCTTACTGTATCTTCTCAAAGGCAAGATGCTCATCTGCAAAGATGAGAGCCTACAATATTTACTTGGGTGGATTTTATGGAAAATGTGGTGCAATAATTGCCAGTTTTATAATAGCAGTTTACATAGTTCAGCATTCTGCAAAAATTGCATGGGATGTGGACACGAGATGTACTGTGTGGCCTAATTACCTTTCAGCCTCTGGCACTATTACTACCTAATTTATCTTTTTTTTAAATTTCTGTATTGATTAAGGTGTTACATATGTGTCCTTATTCCTTCATTACCCCCTTCTCCTCCCCACTCATGCCCTCACCTTCCTGTTGTCTGTGTCCATTGGTTTTGCTTATATACATGCATACAAGTCCTTTGGTTGATCTCTCACTCTTACCCTGACCCTTCCCCACCTTCCCTCTGAGGTTTAATGGTCTGATTGATGTTTCTCTGTCTCTGGATCTATTTTTGTTCATCAGTTTATGTTGTTCATTATATTCCATAAATGAGTGAGATCATGTGATATTTATCTTTCTATGACTGGCTTATTTCACTTACCATAATGCTCTTCAGTTCTATCCATGCTGTTACAAATGGTAAGAATTGCTTCTTTTTTACCTCAGCATAGTATTCCATTGTGTAGATGTACCATAGTTTTTTAATCCACTCATCTGCTGGTGGGCACTTAGGCTGTTTCCAAATCTTAGCTATTGTAAATTGTGCTGCTATGAACATGGGGATGCATATATTCTTTCTAATTGGTGTTTCTAGTTTCTTGGGATATAGTCCTAGAAGTGGACCACTGGGTCAAATGGGAGTTCCATTTTTAGTTTATTAGGTAGTCACCTAATTTATCTTTAACAATTGCAATGTCTGATACAAACTTAAAAATGCAAACAATCCAAAGCCTTGAAAAACTATTATGAATCAATTCAATGTTTCCAACTGACTGTAATCTTTTGGAACACCTATAATATTATACCTGTCACTCTGATATCTCTGTAATAGTTTTTGTTTGTAAGAAGAAAAATTCTATGATTATAAGAAATGAAGGGTAAATGTCTTATTAAAGCTATTCAGATTGGCTGAGCTTAGGGGTTGGAGGACATAGCAGGTCTGGTACAGGCATTGCTTTGTATCAAGTGTCCACTCAGTGACTCACCTTGCAGTGGGATGTTCTGAATTCTCAGTTGTAATGAATCATTCAAAGGACTATAGAGCTGGTCATTAAGTAATTCAGTGGCTTATTGTAAAACAAAACATTGGTTTTATTACAAACTTTGGAAGAAAATTTGCCTATAGATTGCCAAAACTTAGCAGTTGATTTCTTATGCAATAGCTTGAGAAATTGCAATGCATTGTCAATGCACAATCTTCAGATGAAAACAGCAGGCCCAGAAATCTCTGTAGATGGAAGGCTACAGGCCAAACAGGCTTTGTACATCATGAAGAACTGGGCTTCTTTCTGCATCTTCTCACTCCTCGTTCCTCCAGCCTCCGTCCACAACCAGAGTACCTCCTCCATAGGTAGACAATTTTATAGGACAAGAAAAGGTCTTTTGGAAAACACAAATTAAGTATCTACAATAAATCTTCAGGTTAGCTTTTAAGTGACTGGCAAAATGTCATTTTTTTAAAGAGGTAATCATTCTTTTCAGCATCCCACTTTAAAGGGCGTGGCTGAATATGATTGGCATTTGAGAATACTCACATGCCCGTCCCCTGTGTAGCAAGAATGCAGAGGACCCTCTGTGACTTCTCTTCCCTCTTGGATAAAGTGAACAAATGCTACAGGATTTTAAGTATTCTTTGGAATACATTTTTACTTCCTTGAAAGATTCTTGGAGACCAATTCTTACTGGCAATTTAGAGGTGTAAAATAGGTCTTACCAGGCATAGGCCTTGAGAAATTCTTGAATATGGAAATTCACTGGAAAGGGCATTTTTCAGCCTCTAGCAAAAAAAAAAAAAAAAAAATTGTTGGTGAAGAATCAATGTATTTGCATTATTGAGGGGGAGAGGCAAGTACTACAGTATGATTCCTAAGGGCATTTAGTTCACACGTGAGATATTTCTAGCTTTGACTTGAGATTGAAAAATTCATTAAAGGTACCAAAATTTTTATGGTTTAAATTTCTTTTGAGATATTTTAATTTTCTCATACCATTTTTATCTTGTAACTTAAAAATGAAAAGTAATCAAACACAAGATAAATGGAAATTTGTCACACTAATCATTTTAACTTCTAAAGGCAGAGACTGGATAGAAATCCAACTGAAATGCAGGCTTAGTTACTCTTTCCAGTTCCCAAGCAATTGTTTGCTTTATTCTAGGTAAGAACACTGAAGTGAATTTCATCCTAGTTCAGTCTGACACTGGGAAATAGAACATCACTCCCTCCTAATGTATATTCCAATTGGATTCTTCACATTAAATAATCTGGGCAAAAGGTACTGATATTCTCCTCCACTGTTCTAAAATTTCATACCAGAGTAGTGCACTTGGAGCATGTCTCTCTGACACAGAAAACAAATACTCAGTGATATGCATCCATTCAGAATGTTCAGATATTCTGGACAGGACTTGGGATCCCAGCCTCACCATGATGGTAGGGTGTGGCAAACTAAGGAGTGGCTTCCTGTTTTTGTAAAGTTTAAACACAGTGTGCCCTTCGTTTACTTGCCTTCGTGATCCAATGATCTACAAATCCTCTCTCTAGAGCACATGTGTCAAACACAAGGCCCTCGGGCCAAATCCGTCCCTCCAGGCCTTGCAATGTGGCCCGCATCGCGCTGTCATCACTGCACTCCGCTGCGTTTCCATCACAATGACAGTTTATGACTGTTCAGTAAACCATTCGGCCCTCGATTTAGGCTGGATTTTAGATTTTGGCCCCTTCTCTGATTGAGTTCGACACCCCTATTCTAGAGGAAGGATCAGTAAGCTTTTTCTTAAATATGGTGAGAGCAAAGAATGTCTAGACAGGGCACTCAACAAAACAGATGTGGGTGAGTTTTAATCTCTTCTATAAACAAGGGTTTCAAGTTTCCCTGTCCCAAAGCCCAGCATTCCACAATAGATTTATCCTAAGAACAGGATGAAGTTCTATCAGGAATGAAAATCAGGTTTGCTGGTTCTGGAAGAGATGTTGCTGGCTAAAGAAGGCTTTTCTGAGCTGCAGGCTCAGGGCAAGCATGGTTGATGATGTTTATAATAAAGTATTTGTAGAGGAGGGTGGATATGCATACAAGTTTGGGTTCAGAATGAAAATTATGAATGTAGGACACTCAGTTTTCCTGAATTTTTCTTCTGTGAAGCATTGGAAATGGTACATATATCTATTCTCTGCTTCACAATCTATGCTTTCTATGCCTGGTCCCTTAATTGCTTAAAAAAAAAACAAAAGTAAATATACATTAATGAGTTAAAAGTGTGAAATTAGCAGTGACCCTCTATTTGCAAACAATATTCCTCATTCTGCACATGGGTTTTTAGAGCCTGCGTGCTATATGTCTGAGCTAGAGACAGAAATGTGTGCCTATGAGGCCCTTCCCTGTATACTGCAAAGGCGGATTACAGAGTTACAGCGAGCCACCCCTGCTCCCAGTCCTCTCTCTCCATGAGGAGCAAGATGCAGCAGATTTCTTTTAAAAGACCAGTATACCGTTCAGTGGCACAGAATGAGTAAGGTCCAGTGTGAGTGTGAGGGTGAATCATTGAACCAGTCAGATCAGTACCCCACCTTCACAGCGCTCACATTTTAATAAATGGAGAATGCAAAGTAATTTCCATTCTCAAGATAGGAAAATGCCTGAAATAAGAGGCATTTGAGGGAATACTATTCAGCCAAGTGTCCCCTTGGAAGTTCAACCAACTGGGAGTTTGATCACTAGCTATGACATGTGCTGACCATCAGGGGGTGGCGCAGAACAAAGGAAGGCCCCAGACAGCAGCCAGAGAAAGGAGGACCCGGCTGGCAGCCAGAAGCCACTAGGGACCTTACCTGCTCACGAATTTCATGCACTGGGCCTCTAGTTTGAAATAACATGGGTGAGTCTTGATAATATCATGCTAAGAGAAATAAACCAGAAGGAAAAAGTCAAGAACCATATGATTTCGCTCAACTGTGGGATATAAAACTGAGAGCAACAAATGAACAAATAAGACAAACAAAACTCAAAGACATAGACAGCAGTACGGTGGTTACCAGAGGGAAAGTGGGGTAGAAAAGGGTTAAGGGGGTCAGTAAACTATTATTACCATAATGCTTCCTTACAGCTTCAAAATTCAGTGGCTTTCCAAGCTGGCATAGCTCAGTGGTTGTGCATCGACATATGAACCAGGAGGTCATGGTTCAATTCCTGGTTAGGCACATGCCCAGGTTAAGGGCTCAATCCCAGTGTGGGGCGTGCCGAAGGAAGCCGGTCAATGACTCTCTCTCATCATTGATGTTTCTCTCTTGCTCTCCCTCTTCTTTCCTCTCTGAAATAAATAAAAATGTATTTAAAAAAAAATTCAGTGACTTTACACAGCAGACACTTACTCTTGTTTATACGTCTATTGGGAGCCAGCTGACCGAGGGTAACACGGTCAAGACCTGCTTCCTGTGTCTATCCTGCTCCTTCTTGGGCAGCATTTTCTTCTCAAGACAATGGCAGAAGCACAAGAAGGCAACTGAAAACTCAAATGCCCCTTAAAGACTAAACTGGAACTGGTACCTTGTCACACTGCCCACTTTCCACTGGCCACAGTAAGGCCCATGTTCAAACCCAACATACATGCATCTAGTAGGAAGAATTGCAAAGTCACGTAGCAGAGGGTGTGGCTACAAGCCTACCAAAAATTAGAGCCAATAAATCAATGTCCCAAAACATCTAATACGATTGTACTTACATCTCACCTCATCAGTTCTGTGAGGTTTTCCCCTACGTATACCTGTAGCACTCTGAAAACATCTGTATTTCCTTCTTTGCTTGACTGAACTGCTTTCTTCTGGTGACAAACAAGCGTATCTAATGACTTTTCCTTCTCAAATCCTAGCTTTCTCCAACAGAAATGTTAGGACTATAGCTGTGCAGCCCTTTCCTGTGAATATCCCATCCCACATTCCCATTTCCTAAATAAATTCAATTTTTCATAAACCACTGTCTGAGGTGGCGACTTAGCCTACCTGAGTACACCATGCTAACCTACCATTTTCACCTTTCAAGACATGTGTCTGGGACTCGGGGTCATGTCAGCCTCATAAATTTACCACTTGGGTGAATATAAAGGCCTGAGAAGCTCATGGAGTACTCATGTTCCTACCCCAAATGAAAGAAAAGCCTTGAGATTTTTTGAGGAAAAGTCCCCTGATTTATATATTTTTCATATGTTGCTGTCACTTTAAAGATGATGGTTTTGTTGAGTGTTTGACATATTTTCTGGCAGCAAAATTTGTATTTCATTTCCTGTTCTCACAGAGACTTCATATGGCCTGGCCCTGTTTTCTTAACCACATATCAGGTGCACAGCTAATAAGGAGAGAGACAGCGGGAAGGATGACTTAAAACTGGCAATTATTGCATCTGACATATTGCCTATTATTGAGTATGTGTATTCTTTATAATTCTCCTCACGGGGCATTAAGTTTTTATTAAATCCAAGGACCTCTGACTGTCTCCCATAGAGAAAACTCTGTAGAATCATAGACAATGATTTCATATGCAAAATGAGTTGGGAACTCATCATGCTGGTGTTTATCCCCTTAGGTCCAAACCAGTCCCTTCAGATTTGCACTAAACCTTCCTGCCAGCCTATGGCAGTCTGTGTGATGTTTTTCCTTATGAGGTTCACTTTCATAAGCATTGTATCACCTCTAAAGGAAACTTATGTGCATTTTCCACTCAACTTTGGGCCAGAAACATCCAATGAAAAAAACTGTAAAAGGTTCTCAGCAATAAACAGAGGTCAATGTCACTGTTTCTGGGTATCTAGAGCACA